AGCCGTCGACAAGCAGCCCGATGCAGCCAATCCTGGCTCCGGCGGCATCGACGTTAGCAGAGCCGCATACAGCCAGCGGCTCAGTTTCTACTACCTCCTGCAGGCGCTGCGAGAGGTGGGTCTCTGACTAATCCTTTTGTCTTTGGGCGCATACCCAGCAGAGCTGGGGCCACCGAGTCGTTGTTTCTGATCGTGTGTGCTGAACTAAATGCCCCTCCCCCACCCTCGAGACAGTTTTTCTTAAGAGCTTGCCTGTTCACGGCATTTATTGTTGTTTAGTCCATCGACTCCTCTTGTGCATGAAGATTTTCTTGTGCCACCTGTGAAATGAGTTTATCGTTTTTTGTCTTTGTTTGTTCGCGTTGATTCAAACACTTCTGTCTGCCGTATCCCCTCTCCTTGTAGGCTGTTGTGAATTTGTTGAGCATCAATGCCATTGACTGCATTCGCACCAACCTTGACACCCTATGGTAAGCGTTTCTGGCTTCATGATTGTTCCGCATTCAGGAAGACCTCGACTAGCACCGCAACTACTACTACTATTGCTCCTGCTATAACTTGTAATACTACTACCACTAATACTATTACTGCTGTTACTACCAATATTACTACAAATACTACCGCTATTATTACCACTACCATTACTGCTAACACTACTACCACTACTGATATTATTACTGCTGCTATTACTAGTAATACTGCGGCTACCACTACTATTATTACTAATTCTGCTACGTTTACTATTACTACGATTAATGCTACTACTAATTCTATTACTACTGCTACCACTACTGCAACTACCGCTAACACAACCACTTATGGTATTACTACTGTTACCACTACTGTTGGTACAACTTCGACCACTAATATTATTTTCACTTCTACTGCTACCACTACCAATATTACTGTTATTACCGCTACTACTACGACTGATTCCTCCACAATAACTACTACCAATATTACTTATAGTACTACTACTGGTTCTATTACCACCACTTCTACAAGCAGAACTATTAATGTTACTTCTCCTGCTACACCTGTTACTTCTAACAAGACTACTATTATTACTACCACTAATGCTACTGATAATATTGTTAATGCTACTAACAGTGCCGCTACTACTACTGTCACCACTAATTACCACCACCAGTACCACCGTTACTGCTACTTATAAAACTGCTTATACTACTTCGATCCTACCTAAATATATTGCCCCCCGCCCTCCGCAGGTCGCTTCTTTTGGCGAATTCAGGCAGGCCTGAGGAGGGCTCCCGCAACTTGGTTGCCGAGTGCTTAGGCCGACTATCCCTGATATCCCCTAAGCTCCTGATTGGTCGTCTTCAGACTCAGGTTGGTCATCGAATATTCTGCAAGTGTTATTTAACACCATGTCTGGCAGTTTTTCTGCCTCGAGAGCTTGGGTCCTACCCTGTTTTGCTTGAGAAATTCGCAACCTCCTCGAAAACTAATTTAAGCCGAGATACGTCCATCCGACGTTCGCGCAATTTGGCGCTCCTGTTGTCTGTTTGTTTTCTTTACACCCTATCCCTCCGTCCCCATCTAAAGCTCACTGCTCCTTCTAGTTTCCGAATAGTACTCTCTCTTTAATTAGTGATGCTGATTTGTTGTAAGTAGTAATGAATAACCAAAGGTCTTTGTTTCAAAGCAGAATTATACATAAGTCAACGTATTCTCTTTTCACTGGGGTTTATTCGCGCTTATTGTTCGCGACCATTAGAGACCGAATGCCAGGTCTATCTTGCCCGAGTTCTGCTTGATACAGGGAATGTCTTCCAATAATTCAAGCACACACCTAACCTGAAGTATTCCAATGAAGCTTTTGCCGAGAGTCTAATCGAATAAGGCAGTGGATAGTCAGCCTGACATTGTCTGGTCGACACTGACTGGTCGACATTTTATTGTTTAACTCTAAGTATTAGAAGGGTTCGTGGATGCAGGTCAGGACTATCTCTTCGGGTCGGTAAGGATGCATCTCTTCTTACGTTTACTAGAACAGGGGGTTTTGAGTTCCAGTACTGTTTGTCGACAGAATATTAACCGGTCAATTTTCATCTGCTGCTGCCCTGTTAGCCACTGTGCGGCTGCTGACAGGACTCGAAATTGGGCCACAAGATAGAACGGGACGATTACCATTAGCGACCAGCGAGTGTTCATCAATGAATGCCAATATTTTCGAGCTTAAAGGACTGGAGAACGAGCTCGTGACTCAACGGTTAAAGTGTCGGACTTCTGATCGAGGGTCGCGGGTTCGAGCCTCGGATGGTGCGTCGCCTTGGGTCGGGTATAACTGGCTGTTAACGGCTAATATGCCGGAAATGACCCAAATCGTCTCTACCGCCTGCACGTTGACTTAAAACAACAGCTATTGGTACTGTCATGCATTAGTGCTACACCGGCTTCTACCTGGCTGTGAGCTATCTTCCATACCTTACTCTTCCAAAGTCTTAGCAT